CTCCAAGTTCTACCTCCACTCTAATAAAAAAGAATGATTTATTGCAGTCTAGATAAAATTAGTTTACTGAACTTGTCCAAAAATTGGCTTTCTCATCAAATATAATTTTCTAAGTATATTTATTTATTTAATGACTAATATTAAAATAAACTCAGAGGCTGAAATTTAAAAGAAAGACGCTCAGAAATGTGTTGTCATTTCTTGTAATGGCAATCAATATAATAAAATAATTTGGAAAAAAAACCACAGATCACTAGAAGTAAAGTTTGTTAAGACCTTGTAAAAAATAGCAATATTATTTTTCTGAGCTCCTTTCTTTATGAAAGGAAGGAATGGCTTTTCTGAGATAGAAAAAAAAACAACCTCCCTTCTCTTAAAAGTCTCCACCCTTCAGTACATTTCATTCTTGATTTATTATCTGCTTTATCTGTACTAACTATTACACTGACATGTATGAAATCCCCTGTTGTATCATAAAACTACAAGAAGGATGGATAAAATATTATTTCTGCTTGCATTATCAAATTAAAAACAGATTTTTTTTCTAGCAGTATCTACTCTGAAATTATGTAGTTCTGAACTTGGAAGATTCCTTTTTTTTTTTTTTTAACTAATTTTCATGTTATCTAGGCAGTCTTATTTTTATCACAGTGTAGTGGTGCTTCCTAACAGTCCAGTCCAGCTGCTAAGGGCAGCCCAGTGTTGTTAAAATACCTCCACTGAACTGCCACGTTCTGCATCACTGGAGGATACACTGATACTCAACAAAACCAAGAAACTCTATAACTCTATCCAAAAAGTTGATGCCCATGGCTTTATTTCTGTTTGCTGAAGTTAACCTTCTCTAACAAGATGGACAGCAAATAACTCCAGTTCTTAGGTAGAAATGCTTCATTACAGTTCATACTATGGACATGGCAAGGTATTTCCATTTAGAAAAAAAAAACACCACTATCAGTGAAACATGAAACTGGAACGTCATTCTTCCAATCTCCTTAGTTTCCTCATCTGCCACTATTTCAAAGCAGTTATGGAAAATATACACAGTATCCTTGGTAAAGTCTCACTTATGTCTTATGAATGATCACTAATGCTTCGCAAACAATGACAGTGGAAAAATAGAATACTGACACGAGTGGTGTTGAGCACCATGTCTCTAAACCATTACCAGTCACAACATCGGTGGTTTCGTTCATACTTATCTCACAGCTGGCATTTTAAGTCTTTCTACTGTACTAGCCATCATGTTCCATACATCTTAATTAAGTAAACACTTCCAAATTATTTTGTAATTCCTTTAAACTCTTATTCTCATTGCTTTTAACAGAAAAATTGGTCTCCATTGGAGGCAACTAAAGAATGAAAATCCTTCAAGTCCATAATTAAAAAAAATGAAAACACAGCCAGCTCACCTGTCCATTCGCCTTAGAAATTTGCTAGCCCAGCAGGCAATTGTATCAGAGTGAATATGTCACAGAGATGCAATACTACCCAATCTCTGGTAGCAAGATGGTGAAGATACAGTGGCAGAATGTTTGCAAAACACTTTACGGACTTTAGAAGAACAAGAAAAAGTGTGCTTCTGACAGCAGATGACCTTTCTGAACCCCCCACCTGTTAACAAGGTTAGAAAGCAAAAGGGAGTGAGGGATCTTTTCACCTTCTAAGGTATTCCTCTGCACATACTAGGAGATTTGGGACAGATGGGAATATTTCTGTTTACGAGCAATTGATCTTCTCTTTTTCTTCACAGGTGATGCCTCTATCATTGCTTCCACCCACCCAGAAGTGCATGATTAAGCCTCTATTTGTGGTAAAAATTCTGCAGTAAAACTTCTACCTCATTAGGTTGCAGTTTCTATTTCAAAACAAAGAAAGAGTAGAAAATCAAAATGCTGTATTAACAATGTCAACCTAAGTCACTAATCAGCCTGGAAACTATGAGAAAATTATGCAAGTTGAATTTTAAAAAAAATTGCACAAAACGTAAATGGAGCTGTTTTATGCTTACAGGTCTTCAGTGTGGGTTCCTTCTTTTTTCTTCACTTAAAAGAAAGACTGGTTTGTCATCAGAAATACTGCCTGCAGATTACAAGCATTTTTCTATAAACTGTAAAATCTATCCAGTTTGTAGACACAACAAACAAATCCTTATTTCCTTATTTCAATGAACAAACAGTATTACAAAATCTTAAACATAACTGGAAAGATAGGTACATAACTGAAAGGTACTTTTATTTGCAGATTTACTTAAGAATGAAATGTAATCCTATCACTGACAGCCTTGTAAGGCTCAAATTCAGAAAAAAATATTTTCCAACAGCAGCGGCCAACAAGGGTGTACAAAAAAAATTTAGTTACTGGTCCTTCTGAATCTAAAATGCAAGCAAATCTGCCCCATAAATGCAAAGAGGTTCACACATGCATGCACAGGCTCACACACACAAACCAGCACTCCTCTTTTTTCATTGAATAGAAAATTAACTCTTAGAAATAAATGCTACCTAGTAGCAGTTTCACATACACTTCTACATTTGTATAAGATTAAACCCACGCAGTATGCTAAAAACAAGAATTATGTACAAAAAATAAAATAAAATGGATTTCAGCTTTTACTGACCATTTCTTCAAATGCAAAATCAAGATGGAAGTTGATTTTACTAGGTTTGGCGACCATAGTAAAAGGGAAATTTGGATATACATGTTCCCCAGAAATTTGGAAACTCAGATTTTCAATAAATACCAATCTTTTGTTGTTGTTGTTTTTTTTTCTTCTTATCTGTTAGATTGAGTTATCACATAACCATTTTTAAAGATCTAGTTTATACTGTATCACTAAAACAGATTTATTTATTTATTTTTACTCTGGCAGAAACATAAATTTAGTTAGGTGCAATATATTTAAATTAATTAGTCATTTTTAGATTCCTCCTCTACTCCTGTACACCTTAACAAGGAAGGAAAGTGTGTCCCAGATTTATGCATAAGTATTTAGTCTCCAATAATGGATTTTCTTTGGAAAACCTATTAAGTCTCCTGTGTATATTCTTACAAAAATACATATTGATTATTCTCACTGATTTCTGGCATAATTAAACCAAAAAAAACCACTGACTAATAAAACACACCACATTTTATTTGATCGTGTTATACCAGAGATAATACTGTTTGCCTAAGCCACTGTAAGGCAAAGTGAATTTCATTCTCAACTCAGTTTTACAATCCAGAATAACACATAGTTGTGGTTCACAATTTGGTGTTTGCATTTCATTGTAATGTCAGGTGCCCCCACTCCTTACAAGCTTTCTATTTACATCAACCAGCATTTGAAGAGCTATCGCAACTACATGTGGAGAATGGGAACATCTGAGCTTTAATTAAATGACATTAAAAAGTGTTCAGAAGTCATTGTTTAGTTTTTAAGTTAATTAGTAACCCCATTAAGAAGTTCAAGCAAGGTAAATCATCCCTAATTTAGCTGCTCCCTTAATCATACAACCCTGGTTCCTGACTGGAGCTGGTCTACTGGATAAGATGGTGCAAAGATATGCTCTAGTAATCTCTGTTTCAAAGAAATTTAGGAGCTAGAGAGGAATGCCAGATCAAATTACAGAAATACCCTGTAGGATAGTTAAAATATTTTGTTGTTCAGTAAGGGGAGTGAAATGACAATCTAAATCCTTTCTTAATACCGCATCTCCTTTTATAATCTAACAGGATGCATTTTTTTCTGATACATCTAAAATAACAGCTTACTTTGTACAGCTATCTGTATTCAAGGCTCAGATTCAAGTGCTAATAATCTTACAGCATTTTTGAGCAACACAGTATTAAAATTCTGGGCTTCAAATATGCCTGCTAGAGCTATCATTTAGTTCAACGGCATGATTATATGCTTTATGGCTTGTAACTCCTAAATGAGTACTGCAGAAAAATATTGAAATCTTTTCAGTGAAGCTGACTAAGCTTTACATTTTGTAGCACTTATACTGCTCATCTGTCCATAAAAGAAAAAAAAAAAAAAAAAGGAAAAACAGAGATACTACTTACCTTAGTCTAGATTATCCTGACTATGTAACAGAAGAGGTGAGATGCTGTATACTTAAATCTAAATTCAATGCTAGGCTGAAGCTTTTCTTTTTTTTTTTTTTTTTCCCCTTCACTTTCTTTTAGTAAGAAAGAACCCTTAGGGTCAGCTCCTGCTCACACTGAAGACAAGAGCAAAAGTCTTCATCAGAGTTCAATAGGAGAAGGAAAGGGACTTTAAAACATGCTTGTTTGGTTGGGTTTTTTTCTCCATTTTTTATCTTTCTGAATGAACTATTTTTGCCTTCAGGCAATGCAGAAATTACACTTTTAAGATCTCTGAAGTAGCACTGAAGAGTTGGAAGTCTTATGTTCCTAAGGAAGCATCATTCTCTAGCCTAATTTAGCTGAATTCACTGACCCTATTTTGCCGGTGTTGTTTTTAAAGAGAAATTATTGCATTTACTCGTGACTAACAAATCAAAGACAGCTTTTAAAATCACATTTTTTGGCACTAAAGGTACAACCTGCTATACAACTTACATAATTGATATTCATTTGCTTAGATTTCAATTCCCAATTTCAACTTGCAATCAATGCTTCCACTAAGAAAAAAATTCTATACATAAAAGGTTAGCCCTAGTCAAATGATTATGCACTACTTATACCCACAGATGACTCTTTGCATTTATTTGCCTACCTGTAAACAAGGCTTCTAAGAGATGAAAACACTTTTTGTTGATCAGGACAGAAAGTTGTTATAGTGCATAGCTAAAAGGCATTTGCATCTGGTTTCTTGTAGTTGCCTAATGATCAAAGAACATTAACATATCAGAAATTTTTTTCACAGTTGGAAAATTGTCTCTCCTAAGTGGACTATATCCAAATACACGGAACATAAATGCCACAGATGAAAGAATGGTAAACCACATCTGGTGAGAGTCCTGCTTCCAAATAGCATGCGTCTTACTCACCTGTTTGGCTAAGTTGAGATGTGCTTCTGCTCCTTCGAGACACTATGGCAACCACTTTGGCACTAAGACTGGAACGCCTTTTCTTCCCACCTGTTCCAACCATGCCGACAGCCGTGTCCGACTGACTCCCATCATTGTGCTCCAGTTTATACATCTCTCCGCTCACACTTGTGCTCTTAGTGATTCTCCCTGAAGTCCCCATCCGTCTGCCTTGCATTTTAGGAGTAAATGTACTACATTTACAAAGTAAAAACAAACATGTTAATTTGTTTGTGCAGCAGTGCTTTCAGAAGTCTTTTTTTTTTTAATTAAAAAATTAATTGTAAGTTTAGATAATTTTTCTTTTTTTTTTTTGATTCACAAATATAAGATTAATTTGGGTACTCCTCAGGATATATGTTTCCAGTATTGCAA